TAACTACTTTTTGGGTGCATATATTCCTAGGTCTAGTTATAATAATTCATCTATGTTTATAATTGTATTTTGTTTATTATAAAAATATGTAAATTAAGCTTAGTATCACTTACTTGAATTCTAAATCTATGAAGTTCCGTAATCCATTGATTCTGCAGAACTATCACTGGAATCGTCTTTATCGTCGGAACTTAAAGTTATGACTAAAGGTTCAACTACCGTTTCGATCATACCGTCCAAGCGCCACATATTATTTTCTTCCTTAATTACATGTGAAATAGCATTGTGCTAATCTTCAGGTTTTATACGTTCTATACCGGTTTTTAATAAACTTTGAACGTCGCCTATTTTAAAAGTTTTATTTTCTCGAGCTACAAACCCTTTCACTTACGCCCAAATTAGTTCAATAGGATTGAATTCGCAGTGATAAGGGGGAAGTCTTAGTACCGTAATACCACGATCACGAGCCATTGTGTATATTGAATATATTTATGGCGGTGTTCCTTTATTAGGTCCATTAATTCCACTTTAAGCATCTCCTTAGTAAATGTTATTGCTTTATCCCGCAGCCAGGTTTGCATATCGGCTTTCCTACTGGACATTATCGGAATGCGTTCAACTCGACTGTGATAAGAAGCGTTATCTAGTACAATAACTGAATTTCGTTCTACACGCTGTAATACTTCAGTAAACCATTTTTCAAAGCATTCCGCATTCATGTCCTCGTGTTAGTTTCCTGTTTTTTTCGATATAAACACAAGAGCGCTATTTTCCAAACATCCACTGTCACTTCCGATATGGGTAACAATTAGGCGCTGTCCTTTACCTGATGGTGCTTTCAAACCTGTAGATAATGCCTCTATAAAAGCTTGGCGATGACTAGTTACAGAAGTATCTTGCCATATCTTAGATACCGTGCGTCCAGCATTCACCCACGTTTCATCGAGATAGTATATCTTTTTTTTAGCGGCTCTAAACTTTCTAATATTTCGTAAAAAACGCCGTCGCCAGGACACTATATCTGACCTCTCAATTAAAATTTATTTCCTATACCGTTTGACACAACGAAATTTTAGGCCCCATAAAATTTTTCGTAAAGTTTCACGGCTCTTTAATGGAATTTGTTCGTTTTCTCTTAATTTCGTAAGAACAACTTTAAGTGTTGGGGCTTTGTTTTCTAAAAAAAAAGAATGTACAGTTCTTCGAATGATTTGTTTTTGGTTATCGTCCAATTTCAACAATTTTCGACCACGGGTATGCGTTTTAGGGGCTTCTAAGGAGCCTTTTTTTGTCTTTTCACGTACAATACGTTTAATTGTTAAAACAGATACTCCAGTTAAAAAATAATTGCGGTTTACAGCTTCATTTGTAGGAAGTGTCTGTTTCAGCCCATCATACACTTTCCATATAATGTTCTTTTCATCCTTTGATAAGGGCTTTCGCCGACGTAATTGGGTTTCACTTGGACCCGCCTCTGAATCCATTACTATTGTAACTGTCGGGGCGATGAGAGGGTTTTTTACTTTACCTTATTGCCTCTTTAGTTTGGCGGCCTAGCTATTGAAATTTTGAGCTAACCTTATGAATACTGCTTCTCCGTGGAATGGACAGGTTACCTGGTGTTGCAGCTTGGGTGTAGTAAAACACTTTCAAACATAAGCACAACTTGTTTATTTCAACAATAAGAACTTGTTAAGATATATAAATGTGAATGTACATATTTGTTAAAAGTTAAAGAATGATTTCAAATTTGAGATGTTACCAGCTTGAGTGCTAATGGCTATCTGAAGTCTGTTTTACCGCTAAAAATATCTGTTACATGTTTCCCTCTCCATTTACTAACTGATTGGTCTGGTCGATATGCAACCCATTTTACTTTGTTGTGTATTGTGAAGAGTATATTCTTTGTTTCTGTAAAAATTGACATGCATTGTGGATAGCCTATCCGTTTTGCCTTTAATGAATATTTGTTAGAGATGGGCGCTGTTATTTTATGTGTAGAGGTGTTTGATGTCGTGAGTGTTCAAATTGTATTTGAACAGTAACAATATAATTCTATTATTAAATTGTTTTTATTAAATTTATAAAGACACCAATATTTTACTATTTAATAAACTTTTAAAGTACCTACCTAATATACTACACAATAAATATCCTCGAATATGCACTACCACTACTAAATTGTAAGGCACAAACATGAACACCTACACGTATATCAGAAAAGAGCACTTATACAAAAAAGTGTTTATAAAATATAAAATAATTATCGTAAATAGTTAAAGCGATACAATTCTAACTTCGTCGAAAGTTAGTTTTCAACTGTCTTTGTGCCTGTGCTGACAATATTGAATATGTAACCCGTCTGTTGTTTATTTACTTGAAACACATTCATTTGTCATCGCCTTCAAATATTAGGGTATCATCTTACAAAATTTTACTCTCTATTGCAGAGTCAAAACTGATTTCAACTGAATTAACGGCTTTGACTCTTTACCTCATCCACACATGGACGGACTTTTTTGTCTGTTTAACTAAATGAATGTAACGATCAACGAAATTGCCAAGAACGGAGATGACACGTTTTTAAAAGCGGTGTTTTTAAAACCATTAAACACATAACGAAGTCATTAGGGAATAAATATATTCATTTTTTGAAAATTATCAAAAACGTATATTTAACGCATCATCTTTGTTTAAATAAAGATGTTGACAAACAAATTTAATAAAGTTTACTAACAAATACCTAATAAATAATAAATAATTATTTGGTATTTGATACGCCGCCTATGCTGACTCTGTTACTTTCCGTCGGAATTTTCATTCATAGACAACAGTGTTAATCATGCATATGACTCACTTTCTCCAATATTTTGTTCTATTATAGAGCCATTATCAGGAAAAGTGAAAATGATAATTACTCGAAATTTGTGCTAATGATAAAATTGCACGAGAGTTAAAACTTGTTAATTAATAAAACTTTTCTATACATAAAAGATTGCAAAGATGCTATCAAATATTTCTAGAATTCTTGGAAAAGCATAATATGAGTTCTTAACTATTTTTAAATAAAAGATTGTGATTACGGAAAAATTATTGATAACTATTAAACCGATTCATACTCTTCTATGCTTGGTAAAGACTTCACTGAATTGCTTTAGAGGAGTAATTAAATAGAATTCCGATTTAAAATGCTCCTAAACTAAAATAAACTTGGTCCACCTATATTGTGACTTGGGCCCCATAGTGTGGGAAAAAGAACGGCAAAACGAGTGACTACCAAAATGGCCTTTGTAAGTGTAAGAGGGAGAATATTCCAAGTTGGTTGCCAGCTGGAATTCCTAAGTGCGCGAGAATTAGCTTTTGAAAGGGAATTTACCGCCAACAAATATTCAACCACAAAATAAAGACATGGAAAACGGGGTGGAAATTGACGACCCTATGAAAATTGGAGTCGTGCCTTAATTTTCAGCCACTTAGATGGTGTTGAAAGTAAAATGTGATGTAATATTGATTTTTTATTTATCTCGAACAATTTATAGCACCCAGAGTAGTTAATTAACACTCGAGAAATTTTTAACTCTCGAGCAATTTTTATTGCTTCTTATCTATTAAGTAGTTCATAGCTCTCTGAACAATTTTTAAGTGCTCATTAACTATCGATAATTTTTTAACATCCGAACAATTTTTAAGACTTAACCCTCAAGTTATTGGCAGCTGTCAGATCAATTTTTTAGTGTTCATTAACTCTCGAAAAATGCTTAAATTTTAATGTTTTACTCTCGAGTAACTCACAGCGCTCACACCAATTTTTAAATGTCCATTAACTCTCGATTTTTTTTAATACTCAAGCAATTTTCAAGACTCCTTAATTCTCGAATAATTTACAGCCCTTAAGCAATTTTAAAATTATCATTAACACTTGATCATGTTTAAACACTTGAGCAATTTTCAGGACTGTTTAACTCTCGAGTAAAATGTTTACCTCTCGAGCAAATTTTTTTAACTCTCGAGTAAAATTTTTAACTCTAGCAATGTTTAGAGCTTTTTACCTCTCGAGTAATTCACAGTTCACAGAGCAATTTTTAAGTATTTATTAACTTTCGAGAATATTTTAAAACTCAAGCATTTTTTAAGATTTCTTAATTCTCGAGTAATTCACAACCCTTAAAGCAATTTTTAAATATTCATTAACACTTGCTAATGATTCTTTGAGTAGTTTTTAGAACTGTTTAACTCTCGAGTAAAATGTTTAACTCTCGAGTAAAATGTTTAACTCTCGAGTAAAATTTTTAACTCTTGCAATGTTTAAAGCTTCTTAACTCTCGAGTAATTCACAGCTCTCAGAGCATCTTTTAAACCATTCTCATTAACTCACGAATTTTTTAACTCTCGAGATTTTTTAATTTTCAAGATTTTTAATTCTAGATATTTTAATTTTTATGACTTCTTAAACTCTCGAAAATAATTTTAACCATGTTAATTATCTTCTTTTTTGCTACTAAACAAATATTTTATTTTTTTATTTAAATTTCAATAATGTTGATTTTCCTGACTTTGGAACTCAACTTACGAGTAATTCACACCTCTCAGAGCAATTTTTTACTGTTCATTAACTCTCGAATAATTTTTAGGACGTCTGGATTAATTCATAGGTCAGAGCAATTTTTTACTAATCAATAACTTTCGAAAAATTTTCTAACTCTTGAGCAATTTTTAGGATCTTGAGCACTCGAGTAAATCATAGTTCTAGAGCAATTTTTACTGCTCATTAACTCTCGAGAAATTATTAACTTTTGAGCACTTTTTACGACTTTTTAACAATTTTTAACCGTTCTTTAACTCTTGAGATCAATTTTTAGAACCTCTTAACTCTCTAACAAAATAATTTTAACCATATCATTTACCTTTTTTTGTACTGCTAAACGTATATTTATATATGTAGTTCGAATAATACAGTTCGCTTGTACTGTGAAATTTATGCAGTTAATTTGTTCTAGAAGAAAATGGCGGAGGAGTGGTTGCTACGATAACAGACAGTCCGATAGATATGAAGGATTTCATGAAAATCTGTGAGCAAAGAAGAAAATTTCCTGTGTTATACAAATTAGAATTTGAGGTGAGTTAACTTTCCGTTTTTGTATACGGTAGAGAAAATCGAATGATGCACTTTTACTGCTATAATATTAATACTAACAAAGACCGTCAAAAATTAATAATATTATCAAATTGATTTTTCACATCATAGCGTTTATGAATACGGTATAAATATGCTGTTGAAAATAAACTATTTTACAACCCATTTCATTGGATTTGACCTATATTTCTGATTGTATATCCCATAAAATCCCATAAAATATTATAGGAATGTTTATTATGTGTATGTAGAATTACGTTATGCCGTAATTAATGAGATTGAATTGATAAAATTTAATTTGATCGTAAAAATCTAAACGTTCTAGAGATATATAGAGTACTTGGTTGTAAAATGGAAGGTCGTTAGATATTTTAGTGGAAGTAGACGGGAATTAAATGAAAGATGGTTTTATATACAGGAGAATTTGGATTTCGGTATGTTTTTTATCATGTGAGATACACTGTTATATAAATTATATTGTAATAGCTAGTCACTATACAAGTTATTCTAAATAATCAGTTTGTTAAAAAAGCCAAAAGTTTTTAAATTAAAACCAATTTAAACTTAATATTTGAAATGGGTACGTCATCGGGAATAGACCAATCAGCGTGTGTCGAAGTTTTGTTTGTTATACAGAACCAAGCCAACGAACAAACCGACACATAGAATGTCGAAGTGAACGCACATCTTAGTGACACTTAAAAGTTGACACCACCTAGTCCACCTAACCTAACATTCGTTGTTGTTTTGTTTACTTTTTCTCGATTCTCAATTTATTTCTTTTGTCTTTGCTAATTGGTTTAATTTTATTATTAATATGAGTTTGTACTCAGTTTATAAGTGCCAAAGTTAAACATGTTAAGACAGAAAGGTATGTAACACTTTATTTATAATTTGTTTTAATAGTAGGTACAGTTTATATGGGGCAATACCATATTACCATATTTTTAGACCTTGCCAAGGTATTTGACACTGTGTCACATGCTCAACTGTTAGATGTCTTGGATAATTTTGGTATCAGGGGTATACTACACAAATTAATGACAAGCTATCTTAAAGAAAGAACACAAACGGTAACAACCAAGAATTGTTACAGTGATGTTTTGTATATTGAGTACGGGGTTCCTCAGGGAACTATTTTAGGACCGTTGCTGTTTTCTTTATACGTAAATAGCCTAATCAATTTATAAACATCTGGTGAGATATTATGTTTCGCTGACGATGCTGCCTTAATTTATAGCAGTGAAACATGTGAAAATTTACAACAAAAAATTGAAACTGATATGCAAAAAATTATAGAACTTTATTAACTGTTATTGAAAAAACATTTTTTATTTCCTTTGCTGCTTACAATAATAGTATGCCCGATTATTAATTAATTATAATCAATATAAATAATAAGGATACAATAATAAAAAAAGCTAATGATATTAAGTATCTTGCCGTAATTTAAAGTGAGACTAAGAAAACACTAAGAAGTTTACTTTATAAATTCAAATACTTAAGTACCATTTTAAGTGTTCATTACTTAAAAACTATTTATTATGCACTCGTTGAATCAAGGCTACAATATGGTATACTTGTATGGGGTGGGTTGTACCAACATCACGATTTCTAAAATTATTATTGAGAAAATCTGTTCATTTTTCGACAGACCTACTTTTTCAGGAGGCCAATTTGCTTGATATTCGTCAGTGATATTGCTATGCAGTTTTAATTTTCACGTATAAAAATAAGGAAATCATATTACATGAATTGATCACAAGTATGATACTCCTCAAAAATCTTCATTATTAAAAAAAAACAATAGGACAAAGATGGTTTACCTTCTTTGGTCGAAGATTACCTACTTGCTACATGTTATTGTAAATAATTGTAATTTAAGTACATTTTTGTGTATGAATGACTACTTTTTATAAATATACAAACTCTTTCTGTTACAACTATTATACACATGTCTAGTATTTACATTAATAAATCTACTATAATATTGCTAAATTGAAATAATAAAAACACAAATATGTTTATATTTTATGAAATAATTTGGAACAAAGAAAAGTAATAAAAATTGAAAAAAAAAAGGAAACCATAAAAATTTACTCTTGAAAATACTAAAAAAATCATTACTTTATTAAATATTTTATTATTTTTAGATCTGCCAAGCAAATATATGAAGATAATGGGATTTTTCATGAATAACTTGAGAAAAGGAGATATTTGCACAGTAAAAACGGAATAATTACACATGACAAATATTTTCTGATCTCGAAATTCGTTTTTTAAAAAATATATTTTATTATTTTACAAGTTTTATTTCATCTAACAATACATCTAACTATCAAGAGAGCTAATTAACAAGTGAAGTAATGCATATAAAAATGTTGTAAACCAGAATAATGAAATTAGATATGCGATAACAGTTTCTAGGAAAAAGTCGTTGACTCTTCAATTCCCATAAGGAACGTTGACGTAATTCCTCCCTTCGGAAATTCAACTTCGAGGGCTAACGAGGAAGTTGAACATTAGCCAGGTCTATTGGTTGTTCTTGCTTCTTTTTCTTTTGTGTAGATGGTACGAAGTTTTTTGAAAGCTAGAGTTCCTCCAAGTAGGATCAGGAAAGAAGATAGATTGACCAATAATTTCGCTTTTGTTTCTGTTGACAATTTTCTTTAGTTGCATATTTATTGAACAATCGATTGGAATATTGATAAGGTAGGTGCCAATCCATTGATTCGTATCTTCTAATCGTTCGAAGTATGGTTTCGTAATTTCGATTCGTGTTTGGTGGCAAGCGGAGGTGTTCTTGATATTTAGGAGTTTGACTGCACAAGGATTTTCTTTCTTGATAAATTGTGGTTCAGAATTCTCGCAAAAGTACTGTTTTGTTCGATACAGTTTAGGACAGGGCATGCTCATAAATACGTATTGCTTATCGTTTTTTAATAAGAATTTTTTTTTTTTTTGAATTATTGCTTTTAATTGACCTTGCGCTCCAATTGGTACGATGTATTAAATATAAATGATAGAATCTAAAATGTTATTATGGTATTTGTAGTACTTATATAAGTAATTCTATTCTTAAAAATTAAGCTATAAATTTGAATTTTTCAAAAATTAGAGTATTATGTAGATTTATTTCTATACATAATTTACCTATCTCTAATTTTGTAGTGCTTCTAACTCGTTGTAAATATCTTCAGTTCTTATTATACTAGGATGCATAACTTTTAACTTTGAAAACGATATAGCTGGTTTAGTTAGGGAAGTCGTAAGTTTTTTGTAAAGGTCGTTTGAGATTATCCATGTGAATTTTGTTTTTTGAATCTGTAGAAACAGTTTTATTTTCGATATTGACCTTTTTTATTTCAGTAGATTTATTGAATTTGTTGGCTTGTTTCTGCCTTATATGCTTTTTAATATATGTTTTTTGGTTTTGCTGAAAAATATTAGGGTCATCAAGGGTTTTATTGATTTTTTCGATACGGTTTTGTTTTTCCTTTAGCAAATCTTCATTAATTTTTGAATATAGCAGTTTTGTTCTTTCTTTGTGGTCATTTATGTAGTCGTTAATAAGAATTTTGTCAATATCTAAGTTAAAAGGATCTTCTGTGTTCATATGTCCGTTAATTATGTCTATAGGTTTTCGCTTGGTTGTAGAGTGTATAGAGTGATTATATGCCATAATCGCATAAGGCATTTTCAAAAGAATTGGTGTTTTAAGAGAGCCTTTAGTGTTAAGTAACCGTATGTGTTCTATAATTGTCGAATGTAGTCTTTCTATGGAACCTTGTGATTGTGGGTGTTCAGGGCAACAAAAATGTATTTTAATTTTATGAAGGTTGAGAAGTTCCGTAATTACGGTATTTTTGAATTCAGTACCATTGTCGGTGTATATTTGTTGAGGGATACCATGGTGAGAGAAGAATGTTATAAGGTTGTTAACGATTTCGGTGCTACAAAGACTTGTTAGATGGTATGCTTGCGCATATTTTGAAAAACTGTCAACGATTGTCAAAAATTTGGTACCTTCGAGAGTAAATGTATCTATATATAAGAATTGAAAGGGTTTTGTTGGAGTAGGGGTTTGATTCATTTTTATTTTTACGGGATTTCTTTCGTATTTGCTTTCTTGGCAAATTTCGCAATCATTTATGTAAGTTTGTATCGAGTTTTTCATGAAAGGCCAATAATATTTGTCTTTAAGTCTCAAATATGTCTCGTCTATACCCCTGTGGTTTGTTTTGCCTTCGTGATAGGCTTGTATAAGTTCCTTAACTTCGTCTTTGGTTGTAATGTCTAATAATTTTTGGGTACACCTTTTAAATTTGATAGCAGAGTTTTTAAAATAATTTTGTAGGATTACTAAGAATGGCTCAAACATATTAGGATTTTCGAAATAAATGTAATGAACGCCGTCTGGATTAACGTAATTTTTTATAAGATTAATTACATCTGATTCAAAATTATTCTTTGAAATTTGAGCACTAATTCGTCTTTTTTTTTCGAAAAGAATTTTTATTTTTGGGGTAGCTGGTGAATGTAGTACGTCACTGATAATTATTTGGTTTTGTCCGTAGTTCACAGCTGTCTTTATTGTGGGTATTTCAAAAGTCGGCTTGTGAGTTAAATTAGAATGTATAGTAATGTCGTCACTGTCGTTATTGTTTTCAATATTTTCAATTTGATCATTTAGTAATGTTTCTATTTCGTGTGCTGTCTCAGTCTCAGTGTGAGCATCTGAGTCAACTTGAACTTGTAGAGATATATTATCTATGTCGTCATTTATTTTTACTGTATTATTTTTTAAGGAGTTTTCAAATATAGGTATGTTCTCGGTATATAAATCAATAAGGTCATTTTGGTTAGTACTTTGTTGTGGTGTGTTATAACTAAATAGATCTGAGTTTTGTTCGGTGTAATTTTCAACATCTTTTAATATATCTCCTATTTGTTGCCAAAATGGGTCTGTTTCTTTAGTATGC